TCTTCATTTCGCTGTGCCATATCATGGCCAGTGCGTTTGAGTTGGTTGGCTTGATAGGGATTTACACAGCCAGCCGCTGGTTGCATGCAATAATAAAATTGCATGCCACAAACGATATGCAGTTAAAGTCATGTCCCGTCCTGAGCGGCTGTTGGCAACATTGAAACTCATTTAAGTTGAGCTGGGCAAACAGCAACGAGCATGAACGCCACTAATTAAGCCTAATGGCGCATGAAACATGCATTAAAACTAATGTGCAATCCTTGCAATCCACACCCCACTCCCCCTCGTACCCCTTCGTACTTGAATTCAACTGGGAGCGACGAGCCGGGCTGCTTCCGTTAATGGCCTCTGCCTAATTTTATGCCACACAATACATACATATTTGCTGTTGTGCCGCGTCGGAGCGACAACAACATTTGCGTTTTATTGCGTCCTGTCCCATGGTGAATACCATTTGTACATATAGATTTCTATCTAGAAATGTGTCCGTCCAAATTTAAGCAGATATGCTTAATGGCACAGATTTTTAATCAGCTATCGTACGAATATTTAAGGTTGTGGCTTGTATGCACTCAGTGAAGAATCTATTAATTATTTACATAAATTAATTTAAAATGTCAACGAGAAATTGCTAAAAAAGTTCATATTCGAGAAAGTTCTTTTGAAATTTGTAATTACAAAACTCAAATAATTCAATAAAATTTATATTTGCTAGGACAATTAACAATCAGCGCATTTTTTAACTAATTTAAATGCTTTTAATTTATTTTTATGCTTAGTTCAAGTTGTTTAAGTACTCAGATGTTAAGCAATAAGTCGCTTTAAATTTTATCCCACTTATTTTAGAATTTAAAACGACTTCTTGATTGAATTTTATTTTTATTAAAAGAGACATAGGATGTGTGTGTTTGATCTTGAGAAGAATGCGTCCGTATGCGTCCGTCCATGATCAAAGGAGGTCAAAAAATAAAGATACAAAATTTCTTAATGTCATTACTCAAAACATTTAAGTTATTTAAGGATGTGAATGATTCAAATATCTATACTCATAAGTTTTCTTTGATGATAACAGAAAGAAATGTTTTTTAAGCTTGATCTTGAGTTCCTTCTAGTTCTGGCTGCCTCTCAATTAAGTATATTAAATGTGAATTATGTTGCTTTGAATTGAGTTTAATTAGAAAATAAAAATGCTCCGTAATGAGCCGCACCCTGTCTGCACATTTAGCTTAGTTACGCGCTGCTTCAAGACAATTTCTATTGAATTAGCTGGAAATCCAATAGCAAGCTATCGATTGATTCATTCGGACACTGGACACACAACAGGAGCAGTGACTTGGGGGGCATGCCTACAGCTGAGTTCAGTTAGGGCTGATTGGCAGCCCCAGCAGCTGCTTGAGCCAACTCAGACGCTGGACAAGGAGAGCAGGCTGGCCGGCTGCTAATGAAACATTATGGCTGTCGTAACCCAGCCACGCCGCACAAATCCACTAAAAACGTTTACGGCTTACGTGCAACATGGCTGACTGCTTGCCACTAAAAGTCCACAGCGACATAAGTGGCACGTAGAGACGCCAACAGCGGCGGCGACTGCGGCTGAGGCAGCAGCCACAAAAGTGTCCTGGCAAATTGCTGGCTGCAACACGTTTTGTGGCCAGTGGCTGCAATTGATTTTTGCACTTGATGTGTGCATGTGTGTGTGAAGGTGTGTGTAAATGTGTGTGTCCAGCTGAACGAATACACGTAATTTAAGAGGCCGCGCATTTTGGACTCTTACATATGTAGATGTGATTGTGTGTGTGTGTTAGTTACAAACAATTCACAATTCATATGCTTTGCTGCTTCATTGAAGCAATAAATTTAAAATTCTGCAAAATGCCATGAAACGATATGAAAACATTTGACAATGATATATGCGTAGCGCTCGAGAGGCTCCATCTTCCAAGCGGAAGCAGCTTACGCACGGTTGCATTACGCCCGGAAGTCAGCCACAGAGACAGCGAGCGAGCGAGAGGCAAAGAAAAAAGAGGGGGAAAGGGGTTGCGGGTAGTGTGAGCGGGTGGCACACACAACTCGAACGAATGTCAACATGTTGATAACAAAACACAAGCGCATACTTTGCACAAAATGTTTTGTTTAGTATACACAATGCTGCAATGAAAAGTTCTTGTTTTTACTTTATTATTATTTATACATTTTAGCAAAACAAGAGCGCCAAAGTTTTGCTGCCAAATGTAGACATTTGAATGCTCTAACGGTATAATATCCTATGACAACTTTAAGTGTGACCAGGCTGGATAGAAAGCAAGGCTGTAAGCTTTTGCGAAGCGATTCAAACCCGATATTTCAGTGTATTTTTCTCTGAATGTTCAAGATAAATATGTGTATCTAGGCTTTACATTTTTGTTTGAAATTTAAATCAAATATGTAGAACCAAGTTTTTAACCAAAGCCTCTTTTCAGTAAAGGCGCTGGTTCAAACCTTTAATTTAACCAGAAAAATTTGTTATTTCTTATTAAATTCGGGCTTAACGAAAGATTAATATTTCTAGTAAAGTATAAAGGCCTTCCCTAGCTTTAATATAATTTCGCTGAAATTTAAAAAAAAAAAAAATGGGCAAATCAAGGTGCGAGCCAAAGTCTGGATTCATGAATATGCAAAGCCAAGGCATTTGTTCGAGCCGTAAGCCGACGAAAGCTTTACTTGTTCAAAATGGGTGTTAAAAAAGGAAACCCATATGAATTAATAAATGTGCGGATTTTAAAAATTAACCAGTTGCAGCATTCCTGTTTAATAATCCTTGTGTTCAGTGCAGCGAAATATTTGGCTGGAATTTTTGCTACGCCTTTATTCGCAGCATTCCGAGTAGGTTGTGTGCGTGGCCCAGAACTGTTGCTGCCATGGCTTTTGTTTTATATGGTCAAGAGCCAGCTTGTCGGCGAGTTCTTGTATCAACAAATATGCAATGCATTTCATTTTATTCAACTGTTGTTTTTGTTGTTTTCGTCGCTGACCAGGAAGCTTTTCAATGTAGCAGTGCCTTAAAAAAAAGGATAATCATTTTTATGAAAATAACAAAAGCATCGAAGCGCTTCGCTGACCTAGCAAAAAAACAACATAAAACAACAAAAACTTGTGGCAACAATTTGGCTTCGCGAAAATTAATGAAATTTATGTTCTTGTTGCCGTTGTTATATCAAACATTCTCATTGTTTTGCGGGGGTGCTACATAATGAAAAACTGACATTTTTTTTTTATTTTAATTTATAGCTGCATGAAGGTTTCTGCTAACCCACGATTCTGTAAAAGTCAGAAAGTAAATGCCACGCTTGCCCAACAGCAGGAGAATAAAGGCAAAAGTTTTGCATTGTCATATTGTTGTTCCGCATTGCGCACAGTGAATGCTGCCTAACGTGACTTAGCGAACAGTAAAGCTTTGTGTGCCAGAGAGATGACTATGAGAATCCCTAGACATAAAGCATCCTTTATGTATAGATTAGAGCATATTGGGCAACAAAGCCAGGCAACTGGAGTAGTTATAGGTCGAGCATAAAATGCTTTGGAATGTCATCAGCTAAACAGTCTATTGTACTCATTGCACTCAAGGCAACTGTAAGTAAAAGCTTAAATATGTATTTGACAAAGAAGAAGCAATCGGGTTTGAATCTTCATACTAGAGTCTTGTATTATATCTTAAGGTATACAAACCTATGCTGCGAATTTGCGATATGTTAGCAAGAGTATTTATTCTTAAGCACTTCAAAGTTAACTAATTTTTGATTATTAAATTATAATAGCTTTTATTCTTTTATGCATTTAGCATATTTCTTAACTCTGAAATTCTTTAGAACCTTAAAAAATATGCCTTAAATATAAATTTGTTTACTTTAGTGTGTTATTATCTTTCTCTGAGTACTAGTTTTGTACACCCTCTCTCTCTCTCTCTCACACTCTGTTTCATTTCTCTCTTACATTCCCCTAACTCTATGAACGTTTTTTGCATTCACTGCACGTTTATTTTGCATAATATGCTGCTTAGCCGACCATGCAAAAACTTTCCATAACTTAAATTGAAAATGTAATACTATTAACACTACACTACTGCAGAAACACACACACACACACACACACACACACACACACACACACACACACTCGCGCACAGCAACCTGATCAACCAATTTGCATATAATAAAAGCGCCAGTTGTAAAATGTCGCACCGCAACGCCCTGCCACGCCCCGTATTGCATGCAACAGTTTTGCATACTTAATACATTTAGTTTTTAAGGTTAACAGCATTCTGGCCATAACAACTATAAAAACAAGCAGAAGAACAAGAGCAGACAACAAACACGTAATTAGAAAAGAAGTATTAGCTACATTTTGGCGTTGTCCTTTGCTTATGCAAATTTTGAAAACTACACGGTAAAAAAACATTGTCGCTTAAATAAAAATAATCATTGTTCGTAATAAACAATTCGACAGTTAATCTGAGACGAAACCCGCATTTGGCAATAATAAACTAATAAGAAGAAAAAATATTGATTAAATATAAAAAACGATGTCAATGAAGTGAAGTTGGATTTGATTCTTCTTCCATTCGCACTGGTTTGACATTTAAATAACAAAGTTTTAATTAAAAAACTTAAGGGATTGATATTCAAGTCAACATAATATTTTACTGTGTAGACAACTTAACCTACATACACAAGTAAAGGACACGCACACACACACATACTGACGCACACATACGTAATGTGAGGCATGTTATATAAGCACTAACATATGCACTACAAGAAAAACAAAAGCAACAACAACAACAACAGCTGCATATGTGTGGCACACACACAAAACACGCACACGCACACACGAAAAATTGGCACTAACAACACGCTGGAAAATGCAACACCAACAACAACAACAAAAACACATGGCAAACTGTGCTCTAGTTGGCTTTGATGCTGTGTTTAAAATGTGTTTTCCATTCTCTTTCAATTTAGCGCTCGACCTAAAAGTATGCTGCATCATTAGTGTCAAGCTTTTCGGTAGACTTTCCAGCTGAAAGTCAACTGGCTGGGCTCATTAGAGGACAACAGCAACAGCAAAAGCGCATTAGCGAGGGTCAAACGACAAGTTCCTAAGTCAGCCAACAGGACAAAGCATTCATAATTACTTGACAGCAAGGAAGGGGAGCAGCAGAAGCAGCTGCTGCCTGGCAAAAGTCAAGGGCACAAAAAGTGGGCCACCACGCCCCGTCCCATTGTCAATGAATAGCATGCATCTAGCTCGGGCAGCGAACAGTCGTACCTTGTGCCACCCAAAGCTCTGCAGGATGTCGGCAAGCTGATGTGCTCCAGAAACCCAGCAGAAGCAGCAACAGCAGCAGAAGGAGCAGAAGTACTCCATACCAAGACAGAGGCGACAAATTAAGAGCACTTGCAAATTGTTGTCGGGAAATTGATATATTCGATTAGCAATCTTAAAAGTCGATCAGAGGAGCAACCGAGAAAGGCGGCACAAGACGGCGGCATCTTTAATTTATCAGCTCAGAGGACACGCCCACGCCCACGGAGCAGCAGCAGCTGTGTTCGTATTGTGTGAAAACAAGTAGAAGAAAATTTACATCCTGTGCTCTAAGCATTAGCTGCTTTAAGCCGAGTCATGCCTGAGCAGGATAATTACGATGATGAGGTAATTTTAATTCTGGTGTTGTTGTTGTTGCTGCTGCCCCAAAAGCGGGCAACAGCAGTAGCAACAGCAGCAGCAACAACAACAACAAAAACACACGATGACAAATAAATATGTTTTATGCATAAATATCATTAGGCATAATTAATTTTAAAACAAATATTTAAACACGTGTGCGTGTGCCCCTTAGTCGCCGGATTTGACGGTATTTTGGGTGTACACTCAGCGAAATAACGTAGAATCATGGACTTTAAATTAAAATTAAAAACACAAAAATTCCCATCTGAATAGCATTTAGTAGGCAATAGTATTAGTCATACTTGGAGTAAGAATATTTAGTTAAATCAAATTAATTTTTAATAGAACTTCTATATATTCCAAAGTTTGGGGTTCGAACCCCCGACATAAACGAAAGTGTACAACAGTTTTTTTCTCAGTGTACGAGCTGGTTTATGCATACCATTTATTATGCATTAATAAAAGACTTTTGGGCTGAATAATACATGCATAATACATGTGTGTGTGCACACAAATCTCTTTAGTATATATCCTTAGCTTTGCACAAGCCTGGAATTAGCGCTAAAATGAAATGAACGAGGCAAACGTATAATCAAGCTGTTTTAAATATTCTGCAAATAACTGTCAAAAAAAAGTTATGCTAAACGAACGTTAAAGCTGCTACTCAAATTACCGAAAATTTATATTCTATTCGGTTTTACTGCCAAAAGTTTAACAAAGCCAACAAAAATTATTAAATTTAAAATTTAATTTACACATAGCAAACAATCTTTTAGTTGATAAGAATGCAAACAAAAAGCAGATACAAATTTTGAATATGAACGGCAAAGTTTCTATTTAATATATTTTGTGCTAAATACAGATCGAGTTCAACTCAACTAAGCTAATCGAGTTCTTAGTCTTGCCATAAGTGAACTTCTCATGTGAAGTGAAAAGAAGGAAAGAGTTAAGGGCGCCAATTTTAATTCATATTACAATTGCAAGTTAAATTGATTTCAATTTAATTCCCAAAATGGTTTAAATTGCAGTCTTTATGGCTTTATCTTTGTGTTCGTATTAAATTTATAAATTTCACAAGCTTATAGTTTAGCAAAGCGAGCTGAGTACAGTTAATAAGTGGAAGCACCTTGTAGAGCAAAAACTCTTTGTGCTCTTACGGCAGCACTTCAACATTCTGATTTCAACTTGGCTAAGTGCATCACTTTGCCCACAAAGTTGACTCAACAACTGACAGGGTACACCAAGTTGAGCTCTCATCAGCATCATCGTCGTCTCTAATGCTGATGCTGATGCTGATGGGTTGGTCAAGTTCAGCTGCCACTCTCACGCATCGCTGCACACTTTGCGGCATTCCGGCAAAGGGCCAGGGGCGCTTCTGTGCGGCCGGAGGCGATGATAATTGAAATAAATTCCGCATGTAATTCAAATGCAAAGCGCTGACAGACGCTGACAACAATTGCAAAATTGAATTATCAAAGCGTTGCGTGTGTGCGATTTGCATACAAAAACAAAGTGTAAGGGGCACAGCGACACAGACAATTTTCAAAGTTGAGTGTAAAACGAGTCGGCAAAGATAAACAGCCACTCGGCATGAGTATTAGGCATTCAGGCGGAAATCAATTAGCTATGACCCACTGTATTCCCATGGCGAAAAGTGTTGCATACCCCGAGGCGCCACATTTAATGCGGACAGTGTTGCCATAATCGATTGTGTTCATTAATTATTTCAACCCAACGACCGCTAACAGTTGCCGGGCTACAAATTACAGTTAAATTAAACTGTCTGTAGGCAATTGATTAACAGTTTTGCATATAATTAGCAGTTATTGACCGGCTTTGCCCGGGCTAATTTTCATTAGAGTCCAACTCGTTTTCATTAGGCGCATTTCCTAAGTGAACGAAAAAATGCGTAGCTTTATAAGCTTTAATTTTCATTATCATCGACGATTTTAAAAAAGAATTCTTTCACACAACCGATTTTCAAAAATTTTCCATATTTGAGAATAACATTTTCTAAGAACTCAAAAAAACAAATCCTAAAAGAAATGAAGATACATAGCTCTCATGCTTTGTGCTGTGCATTGATCAATGAAAAATTATATAAATTTCTAAGTAAAAAGCATTTTTTTTTGTTTTTTAATGATTGATTACTTAGAAATTTATATAATTTGTCATGTCAAATGTATTTATGACACACTTTCTGTTAGGTGTCACATTTAATTTGAACTATCAGTGTTACCATTTTATATATGTTTTTTGTTTTTGACAAATTCGTGTTACTTAACGTCCGATGACAGTCGCGACACCTGCTGGAAGAGAGAAAAAAGCAATCATGGCTGTGTAATGGAAGCTTGAGTATGTGTTGACATGAACGCAAACACAGAAGGCTAGACACACACACAGGTGTACATACACACACACACTGGGACAGATTAAAGATGCGCGTGGCAGTTATAGCGAAACGGTACGCCTTTATGGCCTTGAGCTAAACTGTTGTTGACAACGTCAACCGTTGAGGGCAGGCCAGATCAGAGACCGGGCACAGACAATGCTACTAGCGTTCCGGAAAGCCAGACACAGGCGACAACGTTGACAGAGTTGCCTAATGCGACCCTCACAAGCCATACCCCCCGCCCACCCATTCAATTGCACCTAGCCAACGAGCAATGGCAATACTGCGCAAGGATGTGGCTGCGTATCCTTTGCAATCATGCCCTGTGGGGCTGTTTATGGATTTCATGTTTGGCAGGAAGGCAGCAAGCCATAAAGATTGGCTTGTAATGTCGCCCAGTTGCAAAATGCAATATTGTTGGAAGCTTTCAGCATTTACAAGAGCTGCAGCCGCCGACGTTGGCAACTCTGAAATGTAGAAGGTGCATGGACCAGAAAAAAACAAGTAAGAGGTTCTAGTCGGGAGCTCCCGACTAGGGGATACCCTGAACCCTCTTCTTCCAACATCAAATGCATATATATATTCTATTTTAGAAGCTATATGTCAAGTTTGGTGACTCTAGCTCTTATTATTTACCAAAATTGCCCAAAAAAACAGGATATCGATATCGATTTTTATCGATTGCTTGGAAACGGAGTAAGTTATCGATTATCGGAAGCAAACAAGATCTGCGCGGGAACTAGGAGCATCTACATCTAAAATTTCAAAAAATTTTAAAATTTCTCTAGCTCTTATAGGTTCTGAGATCCTTGCGTTCATACATACGGACGGACGGACGGACGGACAGACAGACAAACGGACATGGCTAGATCGACTCAGCTATTTATGCTGATTAAGATGATACTTTATGGGGTCGGAGTTGCTTCCTTCTGCCTGTTACATACATTTGGCTTTCGCACAAATACAATATACCCTTATACCCACTCTTAATGGTTTCAGGGTATAAAAAGCCCAACTTCGTGAAAATCGGATGAGATTTGACCGAGTTATGGGGGTGGTAATTTTTGACCCATGTCTATATACGAATCTTGCGGTAAGATTTGGACATGAATTTCGACCAAAAAATCGGTGTCGAGATTTGAATGCCACATTAATCTAGAGGGAAAACTATGAAGAAAAAGCCAAACTTCGTGAAAATCGGATGAGATTTGACCGAGTTATGGGGGTGGTAATTTTTGACCCATGTCTATATACGAATCTTGGGGTAAGACTTGGACATGAATTTCGACCAAAAAATCGGTGTCGAGATTTGAATGCCACATTAATTTAGAGGGAAAACCATGAAGAAAAAGCCAAACTTCGTGAAAATCGGATGAGATTTGACCGAGTTATGGGGGTGGTAATTTTTGACCCATGTCTATATACGAATCTTGGGGTAAGATTTGGACATGAATTTCGACCAAAAAATCGGTATCGAGATTTGAATGCCACATTAATCTAGAGGGAAAACCATGAAGAAAAAGCCAAACTTCGTGAAAATCGGATAAGATTTGACCGAGTTATGGGGGTGGTAATTTTTGACCCATGTCTATATACGAATCTTGGGGTAAGATTTGGACATGAATTTCGACCAAAAATCGGTGTCGAGATTTGAATGCCAAATTAATCTAGAGGGAAAACCATGAAGAAAAAGCCAAACTTCGTGAAAATCGGATGAGATTTGACCGAGTTATGGGGGTGGTAATTTTTGACCCATGTCTATATACGAATCTTGGGGTAAGATTTGGACATGAATTTCGACCAAAATATCGGTGTCGAGATTTGAATGCCACATTAATTTAGAGGGAAAACCATGAAGAAAAAGCCAAACTTCGTGAAAATCGGATGAGATTTGACCGAGTTATGGGGGTGGTCATTTTTGACCCATGTCTATATACGAATCTTGGGGTAAGATTTGGACATGAATTTCGACCAAAAAATCGGTGTAGAGATTTGAATGCCACATTAATCTAGAGGGAAAACCATAAAGAAAAAGCCAAACTTCGTGAAAATCGGATGAGATTTGACCGAGTTATGGGGCTGGTAATTATTGACCCATGTCTATATACGAATCTTGGGGTAAGATTTGGACATGAATTTCGACCGAAAAATCGGTGTCGAGATTTGAATGCCACATTATTCTAGATGGAAAACCATGAAGAAAAAGCCAAACTTCGTGAAAATCGGATGAGATTTGACCGAGTTATGGGGGTGGTAATTTTTGACCCATGTCTATATACGAATCTTGGGGTAAGATTTGGACATGAATTTCGACCAAAAAATCGGTGTCGAGATTTGAATGCCACATTAATCTAGATGGAAAACCATGAAGAAAAAGCCAAACTTCGTGAAAATCGGATGAGATTTGACCGAGTTATGGGGGTGGTAAATTTTGACCCATGTCTATGTACGAATCTTGGGGTAAGATTTGGACATGAATTTCGACCGAAAAATCGGTGTCGAGATTTGAATGCCACATTATTCTAGATGGAAAACCATGAGGAAAAAGCCAAACTTCGTAAAAATCGGATGAGATTTGACCGAGTTATGGGGG